TTGGTCATCAGCTAACCAAAGGTACTGGGGAAGGCGGAGGAGCTACAGGAGTGAGTTTGAGGAAGCCCAACTGAAATATCCAGTTTTCCTGTGTGATCTTTTGTCTGAGAGAGAAGACAGAAGCACCAACTTTCCTGATGTCAACACTGTCGATGCTTTCCCCCTGGTCCTCCAGAGGTCTGGGGCCTGGGAAAGTTTGGACTGGCAGGAGCATGTTGACCTTTAACTCTGGGAGAACCAGCAACTGCATTTTCAGCAGTGGAGAAAGCTGTCTGCCATTGATGAAAGCTTAGTCAGCTTTCACCTCTGTCAGAGTGAGCATCTTGGCTGCTGAGGACATCAGACCTTCACAGCCCAGGCTGTCTGCCCTGGCTCTCAGTTGCCATGCCCCAGGGGAGCAACGTCACAAAAAAACAAACCTGACCTGGAGAAACAGCTGCTGAAACAGGAAGCAAAGTCTTTTGAACAACAAAACTTAATTGCCTGAGAGGCCTAATGTGGGAATCGGACAGAGGACACAGGCGTTGCTTGGTACTCTGGGCCATGGCCAGCAGCCTCTCCTCCTGCAGCCTGCTGGGCTGGCAGAGCAGTTCACAAAAAGATGGTCTTTGTCATTAACAGCCAAGAACCAACAATTCCTGGTGCAGTCAAAATGGAACTGACACAAAGGTATTTAGAGAGACGTGCAAAATTAAAGGGCACTCTTATCTTAGAACCGTGCATATATAAAAAGAAAAAGTATGTAACTGAATGAAAATCTTGTCTATGCTTTAACTGGGAAACATCTATTTCCATGCAGAAATTTTTGGACCTAAAGAAAAGCCCTAAATAACTTATAAGAAATGAGATGCAGAGGTTTTTTTGGGTTTTGTTTTTGTTTTTTCTTCCCCTTCAAATGCAGCAGAGGTCTGGAGCTGTTCTGCAGGTGATCTAAATGACTTTGATGGTTTGTAGCAGCACATGAAGTATTTGGAGCTAAGGAGAGAACTGAAATTTAAAGGCTTGGTAGGATACTTGAGGTGTCAGGGTGGATTGTTAAATCTTACTAGTCACTTATATAAACTCTGCATGCTTCTAGCTTAAAAAGAAAATATTTTTTGGTTTCCATTTGTTTCTGGACCTACATTTGTGTTAATATTTGGAAAACTTTGGAGTATATTGTATCTGAACCTAAGAGAGAATAACTTATAATGAATAATTTATTTGAGAAATTCTTTTATTTTTCCTGTTGATGGCTTATTTGTGAAGTGCTAGTATTTTTTCAGAAGGGTATTTATAATTTAATTGTTGGACACTTGTGATATTTTAGTGCAGAAATGTTGATGTTGTTTGGGAATATGGTTGGGGTACTGCTCTGATTTCGTATTTGAAGCCTATTCTTTATATATTACTTCACATTCCTCATTTTTGATAGTTCAGTGGGGTGTATTCATGGAAATTAACTGCATAAAGGGCACACAAGTCTTCAAAGTAAATTCAGAAAGTTTAATGAACTGTTTATAAGCTTTTTTTTCTACTCAAATTTAATAATGGGGAAAGCACCCTTGAAACACACTGTAGTTTCTGGGGAAAACTTAGAAATGCGTTCTTAGTTTAGGTTTTTTACTAAGTGACTACTTTTGGAAATCTTTTGTATAAAACAGTGTGTTTTCAGATTCTGCTTTATGGTTCGTTGCTACATTATATAGTCTAGCTTATTTAACAAGGAGTATGATCAGCCATGTCGTATTTCTTTGCTCATTTCTTTTCATTTCTTTTTGTTACGCTGTTCAAATTTCTAAAAGCAGATGAAATTTCCCCGTCTCTCAAGCTCTGGGACAAAGCAAGGTCAAAGGTCTAGAGTGGTCTTTATCAATGTCTGAATTTCACTGTCTTTCCCCTTACAATTAGCTGAGGTTTAATATACTGTTTTAAATGGGGGGAAAAAGAAAAAAAAAGAAAAGCAAAAACCCAACAAAACAAAACCATTCATTTTCAAACAGAGAAACTCACACGTTTGCAAGTTTGCCAATGAAGATAATTACATAGGTACTTAGTTATGCAAGAGAACATAGACAGGCAAGCAAGGTGTAATCCTGAAGGACTTTGGCTTGCCAGGGTACGGTCTTCGTGTGAGGTCAGTCTCTTAGTGGCACAATACACATGCACAGGTGAAGATATAAAGGTTAAGTCACCATTAGGTGGCTTATTTTATTAGCTTCTTTCATTTCCTCAAGGCTTTGTCAAGCAAACAGTGTGCACAAGAAGCCCTGTAACACTCGAGTACTTTTAGGACTCCTTGGAGTTATTTTTGAGGTTTGACTGGGAACAGATATGGAATAAAGGAAAGCTGACTTGCAGTGAGTAGAAAGAGGACAAGGAAATCTTTAGTCTTTCAGAAAGCTGTGCATCAGCCTTTCTGTGCTGTTGCATAAAATATGACTGAAAAATGCGGTGTGCCCAAACTCCCTATGGGGACAAAAGAGATCTCCATGTTACTCATAGTAGTGATGGCTGACATGATATATGCTTTGGCACTTCATGGCTGCAGAGTTCCTTACTTAAATTGAGACCAGGTATCTTGTGCTGCTCACCCCACATCTTGACTTACGCTGCTACTCCTGAAGTAGTTGAAAAGTCCTCCTAAAGACCTCTCTGCCAAATCTAGTGTAGCTGGATAGTACTTTAACAAATATATTGGTCAATGAAGATGAAGGGAAAATGATAACCAGAGCCTCAGTTTAAGGTCTTCTCCTATTAAATGCTTTGGAAAATTTAAATTTAATACCCTGATGAAAATCAAGTCTTACACTGATTGGTCAGATTCATTATTCACCGATATTATCTCTTTTTCGACTGCAACTTAACTGTGGAATGCCAGGTGTCTCTGTAACAGAAAGAGCTGCAAAGATTTATGCAGTGTTATCGCTGTGTGTAATGTGTAAGACTATTAGCTTCAAGGCTCCTTTTCAGTGTTCACAAGCCAGTTCAGAGTGCGAGTTAGAGCATGTCCTGCATTCACAGGAATTAAGTGTCCTTCCTTAAGTAAAAGGCACCAAAAGTAAAAATCTTTTTAATAATGACTTTGCCAATTAATTCCTGTTTTCCCAGCTACTCAGTGAAAATCTCTGAAGGTTAGATTTAATTTACAGGTGCAAGCCCATAGTTAGAGGTGGTTTCTGTGCCACTCTCTCAGGAGCTTTGGAAACATACTAGTGTTTATAATCGCTCTTCATCTGCTGTTCTGGCATCGATTTATTGGTTTCATCCTTTTCCTTGTTCTGTACTCCTGTAATTGGGTAATCAAACCAGTTAGAATATAGTAGAGTGGGATTGTTGCTTATCCATTTGCCTTCTCAACTAGTACCTCTTCATACCTCTTTTCTCGTGCAAGCCGTGAGAGTGTTTAAATATGTTTGTGTCCTTTCAGTCTCACCATAGGAAGTGATGCTGAGCTGAGCATACTGTAAAGGTAAAGGCGCAGCCCAACTCTGTGTGATTATCAGTAGTTGCAACAGTTTCCTAGCAGTAGCATAGGGTGAAAATATCAGTTGAAAAAAAAATTATGGAATATTAAATAAGTAGCATCTAAGAAGACTGACAGTCTGAGACACTTAGAAAAAAAAAATGTTAATTTTTAATTGAGTAGGTTTTCATTCAGGTAGAATTTTAATTAAATAGTGAACTTAGAGAACATCACAAATTGAAACTCTGACAACATATATGAGACAATAACTTTTATTAAATTATTTTTAACCCTCTGTGCTGCACAGAGAGGAAGTGTTCGGGTCCATACTATGCTCTTTTTCCAGATTATTTTATATTAATTTTATTACAAATTAAACGTTTTACATATTAGCCTCAGATCAAGCCACTGCAAACAAAAGGTGTAAGGAAAAGAAAGTATTATTTTTATATGATAGACAGAGAACTGAAAGAGGATAAAATGACTTTGAGTCACAATGAACTGTGGTAAAAGAGGAGAGAAAATAAATGCAAGTCTTGAGCAACTCAAGTTTATATTTTACTCACAAGAACAACCTTAGAGTTTAGAACTCCTTCATGATGAAATTCAGTTAGCCCATATAGGATCAAACATATTCTTTATATGAGTGAAGGGGAGGGTGTGTGAGTAAAAAAATTAAGAGAGAGAAAAATCCACCAACCAGTAAACTGAAGGCTAGGATAAGGAGAAAGATTATTGGTGAGAGATTTTAGGTAAAAAGAAGGAGCCAGGTAGCCCATTTTAACACCGAGTTGAAAGCAGTCTGGAGTAATGGTAGAATTGAAACGTGTTTGCTTACTTACACGTCAGGTTAAAATTAAGCCTGAGATAGTTTCAAAAATTTTCTTTTGATTCCAGCAGTCATGTTGTGGTTACTTGTCATCCCGCTGAAATAAATATACATTGGGAAGAAGGAACATTTATGACAAAAAAAGTAAATATGTGTGAGATGCAAGATACTTAGGCAAGTGCAGGAGTTAAGCAGGCTGTCTCTGAGTTATTTGAGTTACAGCCAGAAAGTTCTGTGTTTATCTCCCAGGAAAATACCTAAGTTTCTGTAAGAACTTGATAGCAAACACTGCAAATGTGGCAAATAAAACCTAAAAGTTATAGTCTTAGGGAAGTTTCATGACAAAGCCAGTTACTACGCTTGCTTTATTGTCCCTTTTTTCCCTTTTTTTTAAATGATATTAAATGTAATGAAACATAACCTTTTTCTAGCTTTCCCTGAAACCTGGAAAATTAAATGTGAATGTATTAGGTCAAGAAATTTAGAAATACTGAGATTTTAGTTCAACAGTAATTAAAATATGACCAAGAATATTGTTTCTTGGGAATTACAACTGTAACTAGAGAAGGAAAAGAACAGTACCTGAATATAGCATTTGAGATTTTTTGAAAGATCCTGTCTATTCAGTCATGTCTATATATGTTACCTTCGGAGGAAAGAGAGAAAAAGAAAATCAACAGCAATGTCATTGTCTAAAGACTAATACTCTGATGCTGTCTATTCCAGATCTGTTGCAGAAGCCACAGAGGTTGATCTCAACATGAGAGTTGGATTGCATACAGGCAGGGTGCTTTGCGGGGTCCTGGGTCTCCGAAAATGGCAATATGATGTCTGGTCAAATGATGTGACTTTAGCTAATGTAATGGAAGCTGGAGGACTGCCTGGGTGAGTCTGAGAAAGAACCATAGAAAAAGAAACAGAAACTTGTATAGGTGAAGTATCTCTTTCCTTCTTTGAGGCATTTGCAATATAATTGCTATCGATAAGAAGGGTTGTGTTTGGTAAGAGCAATTAATGTATTAAAGGATTTATCCTGTGGAATTCTCCAAATGCACATGGTGTATTTTGACTGAGGTCCATGGGTGCACTTCTGTATGCAACTCACATTTGGGCTGGGACCTACCATCCTCTGTTGGATTTTTACAAGATCGTGATTTGCTGAACATGGGGACAATGGAACCACTAATTTTTTTGTGGTTAAGATGAGTGAATTTCTGTTTGTTACGTGTGTCTGCCTTAGACAGTTTTGTGTATTTTGTATGTTCCTTACCTTAAGGCTTTCCAGTGAAAAAAGACTGAACATGTTTGATTGAGGAAAGCAGTAATAGCTTTTCAGATATCTTCTGTGAAGACATTTCAAATATAAGGGATCTTTAGGGAGAAAATGGGAAGATAGTTTTTGGGATAAGAAAACTCAGGAATAGCATCAAAGATGGCTGTGCTGCCAACACAAAGTGAATTAGAAAGCTGCCTACACAACAGAGTAAACGAAACAAGTCAGAGACGTGAAGGGGAACAAAAAAATAAAGTTTCTCCTTTATGCACAGGAGAGATTCAGAGTATGAAGCCACAGCAGGGTGTTCTTCCAAGCAGGCAATGAGGTAAACACTTAAGCAAGCCACACAGTGTGGAAAATGATGTGCAGACTTCCACTTTCTACACATCGACAGATCTGCAGATGTTTGGGCAGTTAACAGTTATCTTTCTGTTCACTCTGCTCAATTAGAAAATTTAGAAATATTTAGATTATATTAGAATATTTAGAAAATACATGTAATAGAAATATTTCTGTGTTCTATTTGGCTGAAAAGACAAAGCAAAACAATTTTTGTACATCAAAAATGAGGGTTTGCACGGAATTTAACCTCTTTAACCTCTGCACAGGAGCGTGTTTCAGCAGCAACTAGCTCATAATGTATAATTGCTTTAAATGACAATATCCAATTTTTCTCCCCAGGAAAGTTCACATTACAAAGACCACCTTAGAGTGCCTAAATGGGGACTACGAGGTAGAACCAGGGTATGGTCATGAAAGGAATAGTTTCTTGAAGAAGCATAATATTGAAACATATTTTATTGTGCCATCCCATCGTAGGAAGGTAAGCTCCACAAATTCTAGCTTATTCTGTGATATATTTTCATAATTTAACAACTGCTCTGTGCTATTCTGAAAGCAGAGGCAATACTGGTATTTCTTATTTTTAAAAGCTTTTCAAACACTCTTGAATTTATATCTTTTTGTTTTGACTGAGGCAGGAATGCTAAGAAATCTAACCTTGACTATTACATAGAGGAGATGATCAATTTACTTTTGAAGGTTAGAAATAAAACCATTTTTCCCTTTACCCTCCCAAAAAAGAAAACTGTTGTTTTATTTGGATTTGGTAATCATTCTATCAGAAATTATATGATATGTTACTCCAAAAAATTTAGTTCATTCTACCCTTCCTCCTCCCTTCAAAAGGTTGTTTCAGAATATTAACGCTCACAGCTTGGCTTTTTTTCTTACAGTTTTCTTTACTCTTTCGTTCCCATATTCCCAAGCCGTCTTACTCATGCTCTCCTAACCCTTTCTACAACCATTTGTGATGCTGGTGGCTCCTTTGCTGGGCCTAGAGGTTTCCCCAATGAATAGACACATAAAAATCAATATTTACAGCCGTGTCACGCCCACAGCAGAAAAGTTAGTGAAATAAATTCAGCAGTGATTGAACTAATACCCACTGGAAGTCTGGAAAAGCTGCCATGTTGCCAAGCTGTACAACAAAAGCCCTTTTATCTAGGTCAGAGGAAGGAAGAAGCTGCTGTGAACCATCCTGCTTTCGAATATATATACCTCTGTACTACAGATCAGGTATTTATGCTGAAGCTGAGTAAATTTTTTAAGATTATTGCAACAAATAATATATTCTGTGTCCAAAACATGCATGTTTTTTTCTCCTGCTATGTTGAGCTGCTCACAAATTCAATGTTCTCCTTGCTTGCTCTGCCACCTCAGACTCCCACAATGATTTTTGGTTGTCCTTTTCTTATCTTAGCTGCCCTTCCCTCCAAATTTTCTTAAGCTCCCCTCAGCTTCTTCCTTTTGTCAGACCCTTGGAGATGTCCTGGGGAAAGAGGAGTAAGTCAGCAGTGCTGTTGAGGGACAATAACGTTTTCTGCTCTTTTCTTCTTTTTGGTGGAGAACAGAAAATTGAAAGTATGGAAAGAATAAGGTAAGAGAAGATTTTAGCTCATTTGAGCAGGAACTTGTCCTTAGATGTTGCTCGGGATTTAGCCACTCCTGATGGAGGTGGATGTGACTCCTCGTTTTAATTAGATTTTCAGGATGGGAAGAACAGAGGCCCAGCAGTGCGGTGGTAATACTTTGAGTCCCAGCATGCAGTGAAGGTGGTGACAGTGGTTTTTCACCATGTTCATTTATAGTGACACCTTTCTTCCTCAATCAGTTACTGACTTCAGGGCAGCCTGTTGTTCCACTACAAAATGTTTTGTGACCTCAGTAAGAGTCTTGAAAGTCCATAATCATTATCTAAACACATTCAGTGTGTTCCAACCTTTTCCACATCGATTGAGGCTTATCTTAGAAGTTATCTGCCATAACATGTTTACAGGCCAAGAGGAATATTATTGCTCTTTATCTCAGCCAGTCAACTCAGGATACAGACTTTTGCACCTTTGTCTTCTGAGACTCTGCCCAAACAAGTTTCATTCAGGGATTTGACCTTTTAGAGGGAGAACTATAATATCTAGTTCTGTAAGTAAGTATGAAAACAATACAGAGGACATTTTAAAGCAGTATCAGAGCTCCATGCTTGAAGGTGTTAGCCAATGAGTGTTTGACAAAAATGTAACCAGGGAAAAACAGGTCATCTTGAATTCCATGCCTGCAGTCAGTTTCTTGTTCTGAATTTGATGACTCAGGGAGTTTTTATGGAAATGTTAGGAGTCTAGTCACAAGGGGAGTTTGATTCTGGAAGTGAAAACTGATATTGTTTTATCCCAGAAAGGCTGCTGCAAGGGTGAGTTTTTATGCACTCCTTGTTATTGGAGAGATGGAGTGTTCTCATCCACTGTGAAAATCATGCAAGCTCACATTTTGTTCTTCTACTGGTATATATATGATTAGATTCGGGTTTAGGTAGTATGAAAGAAAACAAGTGGAAAAACAGTGGGCTAGATTCTGTTTTGGCAGTCAGTGTGAGAGTTTTCTGGTGGCTTTCTTGAAACCAGAATTAGTTCTTAAATTCATCAATCATAATAAAGAAGAAAATGTAAGGGAGGGTTTAATTAAGGTAGGTGTGTTGCTTATCGCTGCTAGATTTTTTTTGTGTCTTGGTTTTTCACTCCTGCAGCGTTATGTATAGTTTCATTACCTGTGTTATTATGTATCAGATTTCATTTCATATTGAGAAAAGAAATAGCTGAATTTCAGGAAATTTTTGATAGATTTGTTGCGCAGAGACAAGTAGAGAGAAAAGGGGATAAATATGGCTATTACATAGAGAAACTGTTGTGTCAGCTCTGTTGCATAAACCACTGATTGAGGAACAGAAGCTTCATGTTCACATGTTAAAGTAAACCAGGTCAATGCATGTTTAATGTGCAAGGGTAAGAGCCTACTATTGTGTAAGCACATATTTCTTTGTCTTTGCAAGATTGCTGAGAAACTCCTGGTGATGTCTGAGAAACGACTGACGGGTTTGCCATCAGCTACATAAATCAAATGCCATCTTACCCATGGGTGTCACTGACGGGTTTGTGGAAGTGGCAGATGCTGCGGTGCAGCTTGGCTAACGACATGAGCTCTCTGACATGCCTTGATGGCATGTCAGCCAGACTGGCAGAAAGATACATTTCATGAATTTTACTGGTATTGACTGGCTTCTCCACTGGGCTCGCAAATCAATCAGCATTCACTTTGCTGTTTGTCACAGTGCATCACAGTGGTCCCCAGTCTTCATATACTTGCACACTGATCATTGGACCATGAGCTATGTAATAGTATATTTACCTTCAAAATAAACACATGCTGTCCCCTTGTACCCTGATTCAGTCATTAACTCATCAGAGACACAGAAACAGAAGTCTGCCCATGAAGCACAGACAAGATGGAGCTTCTTTAGGTGAATACAGGTATCTGCTGGTTTAATATTGTATTCCTTCCTCTGGAGCCTCAGTAGCTAAAGTACAGACACATTTTTTTATTCTTTATGCATCATCTCTGACATTAATGTGAACTGACTTTAGCAGGTATGATGCCAAGAGGAATGAAAATCAATGTTACGAGCAACAGATGGCCAAGAATCTGTTGAATTTGAAAGGTAAATAGGCCCCCTTAGTTTTTTTTTAAATTCTTATTTATTTATTTAGAAGGCACATACCCCACATTCTTCCATATTTAGTTTGACAGGAAGATCTTTAATCATAAATATCACCCAAGCCAAGAATGAGAATAACTGTATAAGATGACTCATGTACCAGTTACATTTTGAATGTGAACAAATTATAAAATAATCACAATTTTTTTAATCTTTTATTGAATCAACTAGCAACCACAATTTTGTGATCTGATCTGGTTGCTAGTTTGGTGTATAAGCTAATAGGTGTGAGCGCACTTCTAAGTGGCCACTGAGGGAATACTTTTTGTTTTGTTACAGTTTTTATTTTGGTAGAGATTGTATTAGTCTATTATTATTATTAAGCAATAATTATGCAGGTTCACTGGATAACATTCATCTTCTAAACAGACTTATATTCATCTGATTTCCAAAGGCATACAGAAATTTTTTTAAGTAATTTTTTTTACTGGCCATCATAGTTAAAAACTTATGCAAATATGCTTTCTAAATATAATTCAAAATGCTATAATGCCCTGACAAAGTTTCTGGTTCTGAAAACACAGTACATTTAAGTAAAGTTTAGTTATGTCTTCATGCTATTTTATGTTGATACTAAAACTTACAGTGATGTGACCAAAATATTGCATGGAGACAAGATTTGGAAAGTTTGATTAATGTAACTAGCCACAAGTCTGACCATATACATGAATGTCTTGGACTTTTGAAACAGGACTGATCCCAGTTAGAAAAACAGATCTGTTCCTAATATATTAAATATTCACAAGTTCCATACTCTATGCTTTAGACACATGGACATTCTCTTAGTCTCCAAATGTCCTAGTTTTCTGAAATATTGTAAATCTTACTGTATATGGATGATACTTCATGAAAAAAAAAAAAATCTAGGCCAGATCTGTTAATCTCAGAGCCCCTTACAAGAGCTTTATAACTCGGCTTACACACAGCTAAATAACTTTTTCCATTAATGATTCCATGGTAAATTACCCAACTAATCTTGTTCCAACTTTCAAACTGTATGCTTAAAACTTAATTTAATTTTTTTTAATAGAGTGGATCTGGCTTTCATCAGAATTCTTTGTTCTTTTGTTGTCAGCACTGACGTTAATCGAAGTATCTTTGCCTCGGTTTTACAGCTGCTAGAAGCAGAGCAGAGGTAGTGAGCTTAGCTGAGTTGTCCACTTCACTTCTCTGTTGCTCTAGAAAGTATGATTCTCCTGCAGTATAACACCTCCTAAGGTTTGGCCACAACCTCGGTGATAACTGAGCAGTTTGGTAGGTGGGCTTACTTCTTTGTACTTGTTGCTGCAATTCACTCTCTGATGGCACCTCTCTAGTTTTGGAAAGGCTCCTTAATTTCACCAGCTGAGAAAACAGTTGCTTTAGCGAAATTCCTAAGGTACTTTGACAGATAGCCAAGCAGTGGTCAGAAGTGATCAAGTTTTTGTGAGGGGAAAGATTTCTCAGAATGTGTTAGTTTTTGCATTTACAGAAGCGAGCCTGCCATCATTGTTACTCATTGCCACCTTAAGGGAACCTGCTTCACTGAGTAACTTTGCTGGCTCCAGAGCTAAGGCAAAGACAAATAATGCTATAGACCACTAACAGGAAGCAATAGATCTGTGTCTAGGAAAGGGGGCCATAAAAATCATAGGGAAACACTATACGTACAACTTATAAATGGTTCCTATATATTCATAAGTGTCTCATGGATGTTACAGCACACCTCAAACGTAATC